GCCGCTCGCCGCCGGCGCGGCCCTCCGCGACAGCCCTGCCCGCCTCATCCGGGCTTTCCGCAGCCTCCGGAGCTCGCGGGAAGATGCGTCGGTGGCTCGGGGAGGAGCCGTCTCTTTTCTCCCGCTCATGGCGCCTTCGCGGTCGACAGCGGCACCGTGTGTTCAAAAACGGCTACGGCTCTTGCAAGAAGACTCCTCCCGTTAGCTTGTAGAGGCTTCGCAGCGGATTCCAGTCCAGTGACATTGAAAAGTCGCTGTGCCCGCTCAGGCGACAGATCTGTTATATACCTTCAGAACATTTGTCTCTGCCGAACCCGTATGTCTTCTAATAGTTTTTTTTCCCTCGTTCTTTCCTTTTCCTAGATTATCTATTATTGACCACTACAATCAATTGCATACGAACTGCTTGCATTCTCTTCACGCGAAGCAGGTCCATGGCTTTAGACAGAAATCCTCAGGTCTATTTTTTTCCTGTTTTCCATCAGGCCTTGCATGAGAGTGCATTAGACGTCAGAAATACCTTTAGGTAAAAAAACTCTTCATCCAGATTCTTGCACACTCATAGATTTTGTGCCACGGATTACACTCCTGGGATGGCCTTCACTTAATACAGCCTCCTCCACTTTTGCTCCCTTTGAATGTCGGCAATACATATCCCTCAGGTGCTGTAACAAGGTCTCTTCGTTTATTTAATTCTTTGCAAAACATCCAGGTTTCCCCTGCACCTCTGGTACCACAGAAGAGTGCACTTTTGGGTCTCTACCCATGGGAAGGACCAAGGTCTGCAGAAGATGGTTTTTGTGCCTAGCACATCATAACTAAAAACAAGAATAAACTGCATGCTTTTGTATTACTTTGCAGCAGTGATGATGTTGAATGATTCCATGCATTCTGGTTTCAAACACAGATAGCATGAGGACATCCTATTGCAAAGAACATTTCTGTCACACTGTGGTTTCAACCTTTGACATTTTGTATGCATGGATAGCATTTTTAGGATGCCAAAACACCATCTCTGAATACGTTTTTTGTTGCTTGTTTTTGAGAGTCTCAACTCCAACAGTGACTTCCAAGTTTTGTAACTCAATCTGAACATTGCCCAAATTCCATAAATCCTCAACGGGTGAAATAACCTAGCAGAACCACAGTTCTCCAAACACAATAATCTTTATGTGCCTCAGTGCATTATTTTCTGTGAGTTTTGTTTCCCACGTATAGCTGGGCAATGAAAGTCAAGTTCTTACTTACCTTTCGAGGTAAGCATTCAGGCAGAGTACAAGAAAGAGAGACTATTTCAACTACCAGTGGGAAGTAGTCCTCATAAAGTGTCTCTCATTCATTGAAGTGATCCACACATCACATAACCAAACAAAACCAGAAAATAAAACAAAACAAAAATCAACGGATACATACTGCTCTGGCACTCTTTGTTTGAAAATATCTCCCCAAACTCTCACCACATCCACGGAGATAAAGATATCGTGGTCCCTTCTCTACAAAAATATGCGGACTTGCTGCCACGTATGATCATTCTTGCAAAGAAATATTAGTCTCTGCTGCCATGTATGATCGAAGAAGCATGAGTAGGATGAATACATACAGAAATCATTTGTTCATTCTTGCAAAGAAATATTAGTCTCACAACCTGAGGTTGAACCAACATAAAGATATTAAATATTAACACTAGTATGTCTATCAAACAAGGATGGCAAGAGGACAAATTCTGAAATCAGACAGTCAACTATGTTTGGCAACATGTCTTCACCTCACAATTACTGACATAGGTCCTGGGAGAGAAAGCCTAAGTTGTGGTCTTTGCACAACAAGGGAGAGTATCAATTGCAGTCCAAGCTGATGTTCACATGATCGACATAAGGCAAAAAAAAAGTTTATTTTTTAAAAAAATACTATCAAACACACATATCATACTTACCACAGTAGGTTACATGGAAGGAGTGCAGTCAGGAAACATGAATGAGGTATCTCTATAAAGGCATTCCTCCATTAAGAACGAGTCGTCTAGCAGAACATTTTGCTTAACGTGGCAACAACTACTTATCTCTTACACCTCTCGGTTTGAACTCTTCTGCTAGAACAGCTTCTTCATTTACGAAGTAAATGAACTTCATATTTGGAAATACAAACCAGTCCCATTATCTGTTCCACCTACAAAGTTATTTGTTCTTGAAGTACTGCACAACAAGCAGGGGAAGGGGGAAAATCAGGAAATAACAACAGAGGTCATCCAGCATCAAGGAAAGAACGAAACAAAGAGGAGGAGAACTGTGTTCTCAGTAAGAAATAGGACTGCAAACCAGCACTCCGTGGGAGCATCAGCAGACCAAAAATTAAATATATATTCATTATGATTGACCTGCATGTAAGACATGAAGATGTATCCAAATGAGAGCACTAAACAAAATGAAAGAAGGCTAAGAGAGGCACTAAGATGTATAATTTAACCACACCATTGTCAGGAAGGCCACGCTAACCACTTAAGCAAAATCAGAAAGTCATCACTGGATTGTGGATTTTTTTCTGGAGGGGGCGTGGAGGAGGAAGGCCATATGAAGTCTCCACAAAGGATCTGAAAGAGGCATGGAGAAGTACATAAGAAAGATTTCAGAACATTTTCTTGCATTGAATCGAGAAAAAAAAAAATCTGAAGGTCTGCTCTGAAAAACTGCAGAAAAGATTTACAATACTGAAAAACCTGGCGGGAAAATGGTAAAAGAATTTCCATGAAAGACTTGTAAAATCGAGCAAATTAGGAATAAAATCTGCCTTCTACAGAATTTATAATGAGCTCCAAGCTAAAGGGTTTAAAAATCTGAAATTACATATCTTGGATAGGAAAGACAGCAACATGGGTATGTTACCACAGTATTCAGTGAACATCAAAAGGTTAAGACGTTTGAAAACAGAGAATATGTTAAAAAAAGGAACGGGGAAGGGGATCCCATTCCGCAGTATGTAAATGCGAGATTCAATGAGGGTTTGAATTCTGCGAGCAGTTCATGACCTACCTCATACGATAAGGAGAGAAGAATGGCGAGAGTTTCAAAGAGGGCGAACAAGCTAATCAAAATTTGGAGGAATTTCTGCTTGAGGAACAAATCCTCAAGCTCAAAAAGAAATGAGTAAAACCAGCACCTGGCAGAGATATTAACAGGGAGGGGTAGAGGTAAAAATGACAGTAATATGCGGATCTAGAGTGGATGATATTCTCAGCAATCTTACTCAACTTCTAAATTGTACGATAAGCAAAGGGCGGGGAGTGAGCGAGGGAACTACAGAGTTCCATATGTCATTTAACATCCCAAATCATGCTCTGGATCTCTCCTTAAACGTATGGTCCCATAAAAAATAAGGAAGCAAAAGCAAACACTCCCGTAACAAATGAGCTAAAACAAGAAGGACCGGCCATGCAAAACACCTCAAGGTGACACTATAGAAATATTTTACAGAGAGAATATTACAAAGGGTCAGAGTCCAAAAGTTAGCCTACTTCTAAGAGCAAAAATAAACTGTGAAAGCGGTGACCATTTGCAAGTGAAAGGAGAGAATACAAATAACGTCGCCAACAATCAGACATCAAAGAAGTGACAAGTACCGGTCAAATAGAGACGCTGAGAGAAGAGCCCACATCCAAGAGGTGTTATCAAAGAAGTCGATCAAAAAGTGAGAACGACTCTTTGCGAAACCGAGAGACAAGAAGGGCTCGAAAATAAAGTGCCACTGACCGTATCCAGGAGAGCAGGGGGATCCTGCGGCGTCTCTTTGGGCGT